CACCAGAGTTAAGTTACAGTGCACAAGACAATACAGGGTATTATCAACAGGTATTATGTATGTTACAGGCACAGATCACTTACGTACTACACAGAATACAATAATATACCCACAAAACAGACAGGACTCATAACAATAATTTGAGGCTTAAATACCTCCTCGCTCCCGTTACACTAACATTAAAAATATCAAAAGCAAATTGTTCACATGAGGCTTCTAGTTGAACGAATAACAAAAGGATTTACGAATTATAATGATTTTAAATGATTTTAAACATCATCATCAGCATCATCAGCCTATCGCAGTCCACTGCTGGACATAGGCCTCTCCCATTGCGCGACACTTAGATCGATTTTGGGCTTCTCGCATCCAGCAAACAAACAAACAAACAAACTAATATTAATAAAAACAATTCATATAAATTATTTATATGTCAGAAATGACACACCTTTGCGGTACTTCAGGCAGGCTATAATTAAATATGTCTATGTTTGACGAAATAACGTTAATAATACATAGTTGTAAATCTGGATGTAATTTATCTATACAAATAAATAAAATTGAAGTGCCTGTTTGTAATGTCAAAATTATAGGTTTTTTTCATGCTCACACGATTATTTGCACGATGCCTATGCCTAAAAACCTGTTTTTTTTTGTCTGTCTGTCTAAGCGAAATCTTCTAAACGGCTGGACCGATTTCGATAATATTCTACTACCAGGTAGCTGCCTACATAAGGAATAACTTAGGCCATTTTTCCTCTCAGAAAAACCTTTTAAAAACCTTTTCCCGGTCCGGGCATCGAACCCACTAAGGCAGCGCTAGTCTATTGTAAATGTATATATTTAGAAATATAAAAGTATATTTATCAGCAGTCTGGCAGTCTTATCAGCATTGGTAACAATTATTTTACCAAAGGAAGTGTCAGGTCTATCGGTCTAAGTGATAGTGGATGTGTCAGCGTCCCTACGTAGTCATAAGACGACCACAAAAGCTGACACCCGTTGGAAATTATTGTTAAAAGTGATCCTGGATTGGGAAAATAAAAAACAATATTAGTCGGCCGGATGGCGTAGTGGTTTGTATAACGAACTGTTATATCAAACGTCGCGAGTTCCATTCCTGTTCAAGTCAAACCTTTGTGTGGATGAACATTTAATGTTTGATTTGGTCTGGGTGTTTCTATGTATAATATGTATGTATTTACAAATAATGTATAAATGTAGTAATGTTTCTTTTTCATTATTTTTTTTCTAATGTAGGATATCCTTTATATTATTACTGAATTTATGAAAAAGGTTGATCGAAAGAAACCAATAGATACATATTTCTGAACATTCAATTTCATGCTGGTAAAGAAGATTTTATACTTTTTTATGGTTATTATTTTATAGATAGGTATATATTTAAATAATCATAATATTATTGTAATATGTTACATACTATAAATTTTTAAATTTAAAAGAAATAACGATTAAAAAAAAAAAGAGAATTTCAGTGCGTTTCTTTCTTTCTTTTCTTCTCATCACTCCTCATTTCCTCATCTCCCGCACTCAATTTCAATATTTATTTCATTAATATTTAAAATGAGTTTGTATTTTGATTCTTCTAACTACTGCACGGAGGACGCCCGCGCTTTCTACTGCGCTGTGTGTTGTGAGTTAGATCCCTAGATGGGACAACACTTTGTATACTAACTTTTAAACTTTCGCGTTCCATAATAATTACGGCCGTGGTCACAGGCTGACTCCTGTCTGTGACCAGTCAGCCTGTGACCACGGCCGGTGCAACCTGGTCGAAACGTCAGGCAAACCAGAGGTATGTAATACCTAAGAGATCGCGTTAATTCCCGTTAAATAATATTAATTAACACTTTGTGTGATCCACAAATTGTTGCTGTGAGTCTGGGTCTACTTTGTGTTCGTTTCATGTATGTTTGTAAAGTCTTATATAGGACTTATTTCTAGTGCGGGAGTTGTCTTTAAAAAAAGATAGAAAGAAAGAAAGCTGATAATCATATAATGACGGCCGGATGGCCTAGTGGTAGTTTTAATGCACTTCTAACCAAAGGTCGATTTCCGCACAAGCTAAACATTTAATGTTTGATTTGGTGTCTAGGTGTTTTTATTTATAATTGTGTGTGTATTTACAAAAAACTTCAATACGTGAGGCATATTGAAAGTCTGGATCTGGCCTCTTACAATAAAAGACTGAAAAACAATAATGCAATTCGAAAATGGAACTCTTTGGGAACAAGTTACTTTTTAATTTGCGAGACTGTCATTTGTTTTTTCATTGTGACGTCAAAATGAATTTAATTCGTGAACATTTTCGTTTAATGATTTTTTATGATTTTCGTTGTGGCTTAAGTCAACAAGAGAGTTGCCAGAGGTGGTTTGGAGAATTTAGACTTGGACGTGATCATCTCCATGACGAGGTTACAGATTCCAATATTGACACCGTACGACAACTTATTGAAACTGATAAAACATTTTTTGCTTTGTTAGGCATTGAAATGAGCCAAGTGTAAAATATTTTACATGTGCATCAGATGCACATGTAAAAGGTTCGGAAGCTTTGCAATCGATGGATATCGCATGACTTAACTTTTACAGTAATTTAAGACTGGTCCAACTGCTTTATACAGTGGTCAGCGGATGCAAAAATTCATTAATTGCGATGGAATATACTTTGAAACACAGTAACTTTATCTTTTATCTAGTCTTATTTATCAGAATCCAAAAACTTTCAGTATGCCCTAAGTATGTTTTTATATGAGTTTTCTGGTACTCATAGTACAAGCTCTGCTTAGCTGCATAAAATTTTAAGGAATATATTTATTTGCATACATTTTAATAATACTGCAAAAGTATCAAACTTTGAATAGTCATTTTAAAATTTGGAAGGAAGATTTCAGTTACTACTAACATTGTTTACTAGTTTTTAATAGTCCACTGCTGGACATATGCCTCTCCTTAGAAAGGAGTTTTTGACCTACTATGTCACGCTGGCCAGACGGGTTGGTATAGGGTTTGTTTCAAGTTTTCCTTCTCTTTGTAGTGCTGTTTTCCTGCGTAGTTTGCTCCCTTAGTCGGCTCTTACGACACCCTCGAGATGAATAGTGGTGGTGACACTTCGTATTCTTAATCCGTCACTACACAGACGACTCACCTGAACCTACTTTAACTTAGCAGTGGGGGAGCCATTCTGCGTCACTCATGAGTCGGGTTGACCGGATGGCTTCACAGTAAACCGGTGTTTCGTGGTTTTTCACCGAGTGAGTGGCTCATAAGGTGGCAACGCATTTATGACTCTTAGCTACATCCACAGTGGTGGTATGGTGGTGGTTGTGGTGGTGGTGTAGTATTCATGGGCGGTGGTACTAATTTAATATCAAGTGACCTGTCTGTTCGTCTCGTATACCATAAAAAACAAAGGGATAATTAGGGGTAATAAGAGAGGGTTACGCACTTGAGACTCTTGAGATGCATCTGTTCATGGGCGGTGGTAGTCACTTACCATCAGGGGACCCGTTTACTTGTTTGGGTATGTATTAAACACTAACATACTATAGTACACTGTACTGTACTGTACACTAACATACTATATACTATAGTACACTGACAATGACCGCACGTATGGCGTAGTGGTTTATGTGGTCACCTCGCCGCTCTCTACTGCGCTAAGTGTTGTGGGGTCGATTCCCACATGGCACAATACTTTGTGTGATCCTCAAATTGTTGTTCTGAGTCTGGGTGTCCTTTGTGTCCATTTCATGTATGTTTGTAAAGTCCCCCGCGACACAGGATTTATTCCTAGTGTAGTCTTGTTAACATAATAAAAAAGTACAGGAATATTTTTTTTTTTAAATAGAAAAATTATAGTGTTGATCGTTGGTTTTACCAGGTCTTTAATCCCTTCGCCTATCATCCTCTGTGTATTCATTAGATAAGGTACAAATCTTCGTTGGAACAAATAAAGGACCCTAAGGCATCTTCTTACAGAAAAATCTATTATATAATATTTTAACTATTTCACAATAGACACAAGGTGACACAACCAGATGTTCACTCAGCTGCCATTATGAAGACGGTTTTAGTTTCGATTTAGGACTTTAATTTAAAAGAAAAGAAGCTATTTTCGCACAACAAGGTCAACTTATCCGGAATATCCACATTATGTGACTTTAACAAAAAAAAAAAAACAATCTAAAACATAACATTGTAAACAAATTGTCATTCGCATCATTAATAGTTTGAATACAGATTGTACTTAGTAGTTCTAATCACGTACATTACATAACCGCATGCAAATATTTATGAAGGGATAAGCAGAGACGTTTAGCTCACATTTTGCAAACTATAACCTTAAACCTACTTAGGTACTAGGAGACAAGCCTAAACCCGTTAAAGGACTAGGTGTATTTCCTGGGTGCTAGGGGACTTTACAAACATTTATAAAACGGACACAAAGAGCACCCAGACTTAGAATAATTTGTGTGAAGTGTTTTCCCATATGAAGATCGAACCCACAATGCTTAGGGCAGTAGAAAGTGGTGAGGCGACCGCTTAAACCACTACGCCGTCCTTGCAGTCATCTTGGGAAATTAGCATTATTTTCAAAAGCCTTAGATACCTATAAAACGGGAAGGCAATGGTGGGAATAGGAAATTGCTTATTCAGATGGACTGGGGATTTGCTCCAGCAGGTCAAGGTCACTTGAATTGACCGGAATTGGAAATTCCGAGTCCCTAACCTTTATTGTTTTATATTTTCAATGTTATATTTATACGCATATTTTTTCATTGATGATGGTTAATTTAGCCCATCAATGTCACTTCGCCTTTCAGGCTATACTTAAGTTGGTAGGCGGTATATATGATATGTAACGGAGGCAAACGAAGCTCAGACGTTTTAGCGCATACTCGCGGTGTCACGCGTTTGGTGTAGTGTGAACTATTGATTTAAATATGCAGTGGATGTGATAGTCAATCGAAGGAAATATGGTGAGTGATAAACTATTTAATTATTGATTTTATTGTTATAAATTATTTTAAAAGTTTTTTTATTTAGGCTGATAAAAAATGACCAGAGTTTTTTTTTTATAGTTTATTGATTTATTTCTTTTAGTAAAGTGAAGTTAGGGAAAGTAAGAAATAAAAATATGTTGAATATTTTTTGTTTTGTTTATTTTTAGTTTTATGCTATGATTATAGTGATATTTATTATAAAATGTGTAATTGTCTAGTTAAAAAAAAAGCATGCCTAATTAATGAGTTTCTTACTAACTCTTTCTGAAATTAAATCAAATCAAATCATGTTCTGCAAAATAAAGTCTTGACTTGATTTGAAATATATAAAATGGAACTGGAAACTATTTGTAACTTTTTCTTTTTTATGTAATCACAAGTGTATGAAACTGAATATTATAAATTATATGTCAATCAACTTTAGATCAAGTTTTACTTAGAATTCATATACTCATAATAATATAAAACCAAAACATTTTCTTAAAATATTTTGTTAGGTATTATAATTTGAAATAATAAAGATTTCGTTACTAAATTAATACAATATTAATAATACAATTTAGATTATTACAATCATCAACGGAATTTAACCTTTCACATTTTGATTTGAAATTATAACCATTTCGAAATTAAGACTAAAGTGTAAAGTTCATAACAGATTCTACCATGCATGTTGTTTATTTAACAGTGTCACAATACAAAATGAATTATATCACATCTAAATGTCTAGCCCGTTCTCCATTGTAGTTGTAAGATAATCTTTATACCCATTATGACCAATTTTATAACTGGTTTAATTAAAATATGCAAATTCTAAACATACTAAATAAGAATGTTAAAAATCTCCTTATTGATAGTTAAACATCTATATAGTATACTTATAAACTGATTTCAAAAATGAGCAGGTTCCCAATGCGATTGTCCTTTATTTATAAATATTATTTTATGCTATTTCTTTGGTAATCGATGGCCATGAATATTTTTTAATTGAATTGGTGAAACTTTTAATTTATCGGTTTTTAAATTTGAGGGGTAGGTATATTACACCCTTAAGAATGAATATTTTAAGAATGAAAAGAGCTCATTTCAATATATTATGAGTCTGCTGCATTAAGGTCATTCTTTTTTTCAATTATTATAAAAATACAAGTCTAATGAAACAGGTGGATTTGGCATAACAACTAATACTAGTGGTCGACTAGAGATCGAAATTTAATCATAAATTATTTAACATTTAATAATACTAAAGCAGATACAGACAATTTTTTTTTTCACATTTTATATGGGTGTAACACACTAGTAATCATCAATAATAAAAAAAAAAAAAGAAAAACGGTTGACAAATATTTTCTTCTAGAAAAAGTTATTGAACTGTTCTAAATTCTACTAATTCATATTTTATCGTATTTTACACAACCTTATTTACGAAAACTCCTCCGTAGTAAAAAACAGGTAAAAAAAAGTAAAACAAAACCAGTGGTCGCATTAGAGGTTTAACGGAATATCGATGAGAATACAAAATAATAGGTAGGTAGATTTTATCTTTGCTCTGTGGTTCAGACTGATTGCTATGTCAGTTGTAATGCTGTACAAAATGATGACAATGTTCATACATAAAAATATAATTATTCATCTTTACTTCACTAATACGATAGTCATTAATTATGTGATGATAATTATTTTCTGTGTCTGTGTATAATTTATTAATAATACATTGTATTTATTAATATTTAAGTGTGTTTATAAGTTTTTAGATTACTATAGAACGAGCTCTCCCTGGTTAGAGTTTAGGCGGCCGTTTATGAGATGTTTCAAATGATTATCACAGTTTAAATGGTAAAATTACAAAACAAAATTGTGAAGAATTACTTAGGAAAATGATAAGATAACTGTTTTTAATTGCGCTATGATGACACGTAATTATACATATAAATATTTATAATATACTTTAAGATTTGTTACCGAACTTTAATCTGATGAGTTGCATTCCATGACTACACTTAATTATGAGTGTGTACGGGATTAAGGCGATCACGTAAAAGCTATAAATGCACCTTTTAGTTGCTTAAAGTTTCGACAAGGTTGCATTGACCGTGGTCACAGGTTGACTCACTTTAAAATATATAGGTTAAAGTTAAAATGGACTCTCGATATTACTTTTAAACCAAAAAAATAGGCAACACAGATAATTCTAAACTATTAAAAATTACTTAAACGGTCCTACAAAGATATATTGTATATTTTCAAGCATTAATACTTAATATTCAATTACATACATTTCAAGTATTACACTTAAACAAGTAAGGCTACAGAGATGCGCCTACGCCGGAGGACGATATTACGCAATGAAGGCCGCCGCGTATAGGTCACATCTGCCGAACGAGAGATTCGACCGGACGCGCGACGCTTGCGTTTGTCGCGTCCAATACTCTACTAGGTCATTATTCACGCTTTATTATTGCATTTGGGTTTCTTTTTATTTTTAATTCAAAGTAATCGAACCTGTTTATATGGTGCTGGCGTTCGCTCGCGGATATCACTGCACAAAAAATATTTTGAGCTCTCAGAAACTGGAGTTTCTTTCCTGATGGAAATAAAAGATTTACTAAATTCCTCTATTTCTTATTATTACTTAGTTTTGCATATATTACTTACGAACAAGTCAAATTCCTTGTGCAATTTTACAAATTGCACGAACAAATTGACAAGAGGGCAAACAGATGCTAACAATATTGATATTTTATATCACCACACTTCTTATTTTTAAATAATTTTTGATAATATTAATTAACAACACTAATAAGAAAATGGAAAACAACTCATCAAAGTCACGGTGGCATGGATGTACATCCTGCATTTTTAATATGCAAATTAACCAGTTTATATTACAAGTCATTTAGTCGTAGCATTTAGGTAAAGAAAAACTATTTTGTATAATTTTCAAGTTGTACCTCAGTACAAGGTCGTTTCTTGCGTAAGAATAGACCATTGGAGATTATTTTAATAATTAAAAGATGTTTTAAGCTAATGTGTTTCGTTTAAATATATTTAAATTGAGTCGTATTAAACCTTTGATGAGTAAGTTGATTTAATATAATATTTTGTAAATAAATTGGATGGCCTTAGAGATTTTCGTCTAATTTATTTTTCAAATTACTTAAATTTACCTTAGTTTTAAATACTTAAACTTAACTACACTTACATTAGGTGATAGGAGTCATTTTGATTTTGGATTTTAGCTAAAATTTAATAATATAAATACGACATTAACTTATAGAAAGTTTGTTAGTTTGATGAAGAGTTCTCTCCTTAATAATTTTCATCATCTTTCCCATAGTGATACACGGGACGTTGACGAAAAAGATGGTCTATTTAAGGTTTTTTTCTGTAAAGTAGACGATTAAATATGGGAAGAAAGATTAAAGAAACAAAGTCGAGTAGAATCAAGCAAGCTTTGTACCGACGTACTACTGACACAGATAGCATTTGCAAGCGATTTAATAATATTGCAAAACATTATACTTGTATTAGATAACACTTAGAGGACCGAGAGCCTAGTACTTTGTGGTCAAAACCTCAAAATACTCTGTCTTAACAAACGATCCATCTTGGTTTATTTAAGCAAATTCGTTGGCGATTTAAGTATTTGTTTTATGATGTTCAGACTTCCGTTTTTATGTACAGACACATACAGTTGATAAATATTTATTTGTAAATATCGATGTTACATTATTTATTTTGTTTTTGTGTTGTTAAAACTCTTTGTAAGTCTTACTTATGTCTCTCCTCTTGCATCACAATTGCAGAAAAATATATTTAAGGGCCCTGTCCAATCGGTTCTCTTCATCAAACATCATAAAAAATTAGAAAATGATGCTTTAATATTGCGTTGATGTTTGATTTGTCGTTTCTTAATGTAAATAAGAGAAATAAGTGTAAAAACTAATCCATTATTTCAAGAAAATTCCTACATACACACATTTTTTTTTTTAAAGACAACTTCCGCATTAGGAATAGGTATATCCTGTGTCGCGGGGGACTTTATATACATACATGAAACGGACACAAAGAACACCCAGACTTAGAAAAACAATTTGTGGATGACACAAAGAATCGTCCCATGTGGGGTTTAAACCCACAACACTCGGCGTAGTAGGAAGCGGCGTGGCGACCGCTTAAACCATTACGCCATCCGTGCAGTCTATTAATGTAAATACATGCTTTCATACAAAATAAGAGTCCAATAAATATCGAATACTAAACTTTATTTTTTTGGTCTAATTACAATAATATCGAAATACATAGTAGTGAAAACAAATGCATGCACTTAATTCAGTGATAAGCTAAATGGTAACCGAGTATGTTAACACATGGCAAAGTTAAGCATCTATATCCTGGCTAGTCAGTAGACGGGTGACCATTCTTAACACATTTAGGTCCCTCCATGCCTCGGAGAACGTTTAGCCGTTGGTCCCGGTGTGGCACATGGTATGCCCATATATGTGGCAATCGTTACGGATAGTTGGAGCTCTAAAAGTCCGACAATAATCTTTCTACAGAATTTCGATAACACCTATTACTTGGGTTGTGAAGGTCTGATAGTAGTCGATCAGCGTAAAATGTAGAAGTTTAGTCGTAGGAGACTTAAAGCCGACCCGAACCTGGCTCGTAGGCATTTTAGTGCTGATTAGAATCTTATCACAATAAACTACTATATATTTAGACTAATGACCGTAAATACTAAAGTCCTAAATAAAACTTAGACTTTTTACAAAATCAAGTCGAACTTGAATTTAAAAATGGTGTTCATATTTGTCACTGTGTGAACTTTACGACTGTGAATTTTATAACAGTGTAATCAATTTTACAAAGTGTTTTATTGTTTAAAGTTTATTATTGTTAAATAACACAGTTTTATGACTTACGTTAACAATACAAAACATAATGTTTACAATAGATTACTGAGGTGAATACCG